GGAAAGTTTGAACAAAACTTAATTTGAAGTTCTCGTCGCTAAACTTAGACTTCATTCGAAATATGTTTAAAACTTTGAACTATTAATAAAATGGACTTTCACGACGTTCTCTTCCCACGTCTTTGAGTAATTATCCCACTTTTTTTTATTCCATTAATGAATATTTTAAATTCGGAACATACCTTATAACCAAGTGGAGATCAAACATTTTTTGTTCTATGTTTTTTCAGAAGAAAATGGATTCTGAACGAACGTCTCTTTAAGATAAAAAAAATTATTATACACATTCCGTATAGTCTATACGTCTAAAGACGCAAATTGAGTGTTTTTTTTTTCAAACTCCGCATAGAAATACGTATAATTTGATATAATCCGACAGTCAAAGAAATAATGCAACATTTTTAGAACGAGAAAAATTTAATCTCCGTCATATTCTCGTAACGTTTTCTGCGCGATTTTTCTGGTAAAAGTAACGAACAAATCCAGGGAATTACGTTGAGCCGTCTCTTGATTACGTCACGAATTTAACGAAATGATTTCGTGATATCTTGATCAGAAAATTTTCTTTTACAAGGATACTGTATATATTATTTTCATTTATATTTTTAAGAATAGAAAACCATATAAAAATACTGTTCAGTGTAATTTAATAACTTTAAAAGCGGTCGCATTTTGACTAAACTATCTCACAACTGTGATTTTCGCTCGTTTCGCAGTCATTCAACTGTTTAGTTGCACAACTAAAAATCGAGTAGTGTGCACCTCCATATAGAATCCTTCCTCATAGGAATCAAAGCGGGACTAAACAGTTGTGCAATGGTTTAGTTGCAGGTGTGCGCATGCTCGCGTTGTTGGACAATTAGTAATTATACTGCTGTTAATATTACAATTATTATATACTAGCTGTTGCCCGCGACTTCGACCGCGTGGTATTAGAAAACATACGAACTATATAAATAACAAAAAGCTACGTAACCCACGGGAACCTAACATTTCTCGGGGATGAACCTCATCCCATGTGTACTCCAGACTTAGTTTTATATCTGTGCTAAATTTCAAAAGGATATGTTGAACCGTTGCAGAATGATCGAGTAAACATTAAAAAACTAAATTAATGAATCTCACAGGAACCGTAACTATTACCGGGTTAAAAAGTACCCTATGTGTTCTTCCAGACTATGCTCTAAACCTGTGCCAAATTTCATGGAGATCCGTTCAGCCGTTTAGGCTACAAACGCTAACAAACGTCCATCCATCCATCCATCCATCTATCCATCCATCCATCCATGTAAACTTTCGCATTTATGATATTAGTAAGATTTACAAACCATGTAGTTTTAAAAATGTAAAGTACTAGAAGAAAAAGTGTTCAATTTTAATGAATGTAAACCTTTACCGTATTAATAAATAAACAGGTATAATTTAAATAAATAAGACAGGTGAGTTTCGAAGAAATTTCATTAGACATTTAGACGGTACATTTATTAAATGTTAATTAACTCGCGGAGCAAAGGGTTTGAAGCAATATTAAGACTGTAGAAATAATTTTATGTATAAAATTATAGAAATTTAATGAATTATTTTTCCTAGTTGTAGCGTTAGGATTTATTTGACCCAATAACCTAATTTCTTTTTTTAGATACTGCAAGTAACAAATAAAAAGTAAATGAAAATATACTAGCTGTTCCCGTGCGGCTTCATCCGCATCAAATTATGAAAATTGTATTTCAGTGCTTACATTTGTCAAATTATCAATAGCAAATGTCAAAATGACATGACATTACAAACCTTAGCGATCTTGCTTTTTTGATGTTGGCAGCAACTTATGGTCTCTTTCCCACATTAGGGTTTTTATCCAAAATATTTACCCCCTAAGTTTAATGTCGTGAAAATGTATAGCCTAAAGCGTGACGTAAGTGTAGGGCTTTTTATTAAAAAATAATTATTCAAAAATACGCTGTAATTGCTGACATCTTAGGCAACAAAGAAGTGTGTGTTTACGCTTTATTATAATAGTATAGATAAAGATATAATAAAATTTGAATGTCTGTTTGTATATCAATAGCAAATTTCGGAAAGATATTGTATTTGCGTAGCTGATAACGAAAATCGCATTTATTTTTTTTGTCTGTCTGTCTGTCTGTTCGCAAGCCGCGTTTGTTCCGGGTAATCTCCGAAAGGATTGGGCCGATTTCGACCTAACGTTCACTGAAGGGTAGCCCACATAGAAGGGCATGTTATAGTCTACTTTTTATCCGGAAAATAGCTACGGTTCCCGCGGGATACACTGATTTCGTTTTTGTCATTTCACGAAGACGAAGTTGCGAGCAAAAGCTAGTATGTAAATAAATCACGACAGCAAATGATTTATGAGCAATACAAACAAGTTGTAAATCTTTTATGTTTACAAACCGAAAACAAAATAACTAGTGAATTTTCGCTGCCGTATCTCTTGTATTAGAATATATTGTTTCTTTTCGTTTCAAAGAGAATGAGCAGGACAAAAGTATTCTTTTGCAGAAACGTTTCGACATGGGTAAGACAGAAAAAGGCTCACATTTCTTGAGAACATTTGTCTTACTATCCCTTTGAGAGACAACTGTCATAGGTTTAAAGGAAGAAAGGAAAAAATTAATAATTCATATGAAAAATTGTATTCTTGGTTATATTTTTAGAAAACTATTTATAGTAGTATATTGTATTTATACTCTTACTGTGTTTAATGTATTAATATTTAGTGCTTTTCAGTGTTTATTTGATTATAAATGTTACCGTTTTCGATATTTAGAGTTTAGATTAAGATTTAGGTAACAAATTCGCGCGGAATAAAATAATTCTAGTTATAATTGTATCCTTTGTTACTCAGTAGTAAACAAACTTTTTGATGGTAAAAGAAATTTTAAAATCGGCCAAGTTGTTTTTGAGTTTATTCGTTACATACATAATAAAAAATATATCCATTTTAGTACTGATTTACTAACAGATTATCGCACAACTCAATCACAGTTACGGACTTAATTTGCACAATACTTCTATATGTAACATAGCTGAGTAATTTTTACGAAAGGAATTTTCTACATTCATGATCTGAAGAGAAAAAGTGATTTGAGTTTTCCATATTAACTGAAATTTTCATACACTTTTTATAAGAATAAGGCAACAAGTATATTATATTGCAAAGTTAATATGCACACTTGATACAGGTTCAGGAATATCAACAAAGGCCGGCCTACATAAACAAGCCGCTTATAAATTAGCTGACGTGAAGTGTACCGCAATTAAGGTCGATGGGCTAACCTTAAACAATCGATAAATTATTATGAAATATGACTGCGATAGCTATAGCTATCCATATCGCGAGTTAAATTTCCTAGTCAGGTACAGTCGGGGAAACTGGCGGTTTCACTTTAAAGCTACAATTGTTTGAATATTTAGAAACGACGACGCGGAACAGAAACCAATACAGCGCAGCTTATAATCGTAATCGGTTAATAATTCACGGTTATTTTTTATTATTATACTTTTGTTTGCAACATTCGCTGTTATATAATTGGTTACTTGTATAAAGAGTTGGAATTAGTCTCGTTGCAATGAATGGAAATTTATTCTAATGTAGAACACCGATGATTGCCGCGACTGTACACTAAGTATGAGATACTAGTGTATACTTTTTAGTGGTTATCCTGGGACTCCATTAGCACTTTTCATAGAGAATTTATGGGAGAAGATCGTTTGTTTTTCCCTATTAATGGATACATGCTTATTATTCGCGAGTCGCAAGGCAACTTGGAGCGGGCGCACAACTTTGACTAAACTGTTATGCGATTGTCGATTGTTTCGCAGCCAATTCAACTGTTTAGTTGCATGAGTAAAAATCGAGTAGTGTGCGCACCACCATATAAGCTCATAGGAATCAAAGCGCGACCAAACAGTCGTGCCATAGTCAAAAGTGTGCGTGCGCTCTTAAAATACCGAAATCGAATAATTGCAACTAGTTAAAGAATTCTTGTCGTTACTGTTATTGTAGTTTAGTATTTTAATTTATTGCACCAAGAGGAGGTTTAACTTAATTCTTATTCAAATACTAGCTGTTCCCGTGTCTTCATCCGCATGAAATCGTAATAACTTTATTGTTTACGTTTGTCAAATGTCAGAATTCAAATGCATAAATGACAACCTTCCTTAATGTTGGTAGCTTTTAGTTTATGGTCCCTTTCCGAAATAAATTTTTTTTGCCAATCTATTTAACCCCCAAGTTTTAAAGTGTGAAAATATATGGTATAGCCTAAAGCCTGTCGTAAGTGTAGGGCTTTTTGTTACATAAAGAATTGTTCAAAAATATGCCGTGATTGCTGACATCCAGTCCACAAAGTAGTGTGTGTTTACGCTTTATTATAATAGTATAGATAAAAATTTAAAACACGATACCTGAATTGCAAATTTATTTACAGAAATAGCTCATATAAAAATTATAAACTTTTAGAGAAGTTACATACATTATTTTACACATTACATTTTTACACGTAACATAATAATTCCTTTATCCAAAAAAAAAATTACATTACGGATAAAAGATGTTTTAAAAATTACATAAATTTTTTACAAAATAAAGACGTACATGTTTTTTGAATTAATGCTTGCATTACATTTAACACAAGATTAATAACTAAGTCAAGCGATGGCAATTTTTCTTAAGAGCACTTACACAGATGTTTTTGATGTAAGATGTTCTCAAGTAACATCGGAACAACTGATATTCTCAGTGGAACAAAGTTATATAAAACTATAAGTACAGAACAAGGGTAGATATTTACAAGAATTGAAGGTTTTTTTTCGATTTTATATCTTAAGAAAAATCTATAAAATATATTTTACAAACAATATTTCTTAAAACTAAAATAAAATACCATTCATTTTAATTACAATTTAAATATAAAATTTATTAAAAAAGCATTTTAAACTAGTCTTTTTACATGTATTATCAAAGAAATTAAAAAGAAAACTAAAGGTTGACATCGCCACTGATTTATCTTCAATTATGAGAATGGACGGTTATATTCGTGCTGTTAAGATTAAAAAAGTTTTCGATTCAAGAAGCATTATTCTTAGTATTCTTAAAAAAATATTACCTATCTCTCTATGTCTATGTCTGACCCAATAAATCATCCGTAAGATTGATCCGATTTTTTTTTAATTACGTAATAAGAAAGTGCGTACGAAAACGGTTAGATCGATATCATATATTAGTCTATTCACTGTTATTAAGCTAGGTATTAAAGTGGAACAGCGGGCGCACTTCTTTGACTAAACTATTGTACTGTTGTGCGATTGTCGATTGTTTCGCAGCCAATTCAACTGTTTAGTTGCACAACTGAAATGGAGTAGTGTGAACACCTCAATATAAGTTCATAGGAATCAAAGCGAAGTTTGCAAAGTTTCAAGTGTACGCACGCTCTAACTGAGATGAACAACGGATTGATTATTGGGTTGCATGTCAATATATAAAATCTTATCAAGTGGGTTCTATTTGTGTTGACTGTGGGTTCTTATCCTTCCCGAAAGGGCTACCAGCTTCACCATCCCCACTGTTACCGCTGTTGGCTGCTACTGATGTCAGTGGCACCTGTGAAAATACACCTTTTGAGCTTATCTGAAATTAAAATTCTATATGCAATGAGCATCTGTATACTATGAATGAAGTGTGAAAGAGGATATGAGTAAGAAGGAAGTGAATTCAGATATGACTGATAGAGATGTATAGAAGGTTAGTTAATCCTCCATAAGGTAAAGGAAGACGATGACATCGCTAATATCTTGATTCCTAATTTCTATTTTCCTAGCGTAACTTTCAGACTTCACGCAATCCATCTCTTTCTAGGTCTACCTCTTCACTTAAGTTCGTCTTAATGTTCTTGATTGTTTTATTAATGAGAAACAAAAAATACAGAGTTCTAAGAATAAATAATCTTTAAAATATAATGGCTTAGATTGATTGAAAACCATCAATAAAGATTGTGAAATAGTTTAATATGAACGCGTGTAACAAATCAAACTGTACGCTGCGTTCGATTATACAGATCGATATTCTATTTTCAATAAGATGTTAAATATAAATATTATTCAACATTCCACCAGCCAGCAAACGGAAACGTTACATATGGTATTATATATAATCACACTAATATTATAAATGCGAAAGATGGATGTTTGTTAGAGTTTGTAGATTATCGATAGTTTATCTATGAAATTTGGCATATGTGTCCTCTACATAGTCTGGAAGAACATATAGGCTACCTACTTTTATTTTGCTGACGGAGTCGCGGGCAAAATCTATTTTAATATATAAATAGAAATATATTAATGTGCGTAAATTATTGTATCATGGATATATTCCAATAAATTTCGCTGGTGATGGTGCTGCGGTTAGGCGACAGCTTGGTATAATGAGTTTAATTTGCACAAAAATCATGTCCCATGTTTAGGCATAAACGCCGACGCGTTTAGTAAAATACTAAATTTCGCCCGCGCCTTTGTGTTCTTTAATTATACCTTCTGTATCTATGACAAATTTCATCGAGATCCGTTCAGCAGTTTAGGTTACAAACTCTAACAAACATTCATCCATCTAAACTTTTGCAATTAAAATATTTAATTATTATACTAAGACTAAAATTATTATGAATTCTACAAATATCGTGTTTTAAAGGTAGCCTTCAACATAGATACCTAGATGGGAAATTTAAAATAAGGTCAGTTTCCTTATAGAGTCCAGTTAATAAAGATACATTATAATTGTAAACTATTAAATATCCAACGTACCATAGAAACTGCAGTACAGATATGTGCGTTTGAAGGTCTTGGTGGGGTGACGGCGGGATCAAACCTGAGATCCAATTGCAGCATATACACAGTGGCGGCCAATGTGCTGATTGACACCACGAGCTGTGCCACGGCAACGCCCACGCACGTTGTGCTGCTACAACTGTCGTGGAAACAATATTAAAGTACCAAGATCATCATCGTCTTCCTCCTTATCCTACACCCGTAGAGTGAGCGCATCAGGTTTTTGTTCTCCACATAACTGTATCATACGTCATCTCACTTATCGCTCCCTTCTTGATCCATGATGTGTAAAAATCAAATATATTGTATAGTCAATTGGACACCTTCTATTCGCTTTACCTATAATTTTTACTTCTTAATGATTGATCAGTCTTTAAATCCATTCAACTAGTTCATATAACCCAACTTACCCTAAATTCATTAGTGTTCTAATACAAATCACTAGCATTGCTATATGCGCGGCTATAGCGACTGTCCACAACGCAGTTAGAGGCACGGCAGCACAGGGAGCAGGTCCGAGAACTCTCCACGGCGCTCCCCAAGACCTTGACGTCCGAGATCTCGCGGAGTTCCAACCTCCGAAACCGCGGCTGAAGTATACTGAGGTAGCTGGTTAGATACAAAAGAATTAAATTGTATAGTTCGACACTTCGAGTTGTTTGGAGATGAAAATATTTATGGCTTTAAATTAGAGACTTTACTGTCTACAGCTAGTTTTTTACTGAATGTTATAAATATACCTTAGAGTAGATTTCGCGCCATAAATCTATACTCAGGGAGTCTCTTGACTATGAGTGCAGGAGTTAGTCATAGAATTCCAACTACAGTAAGTCACAAGCTATGCTTAAAACTCGTAAACCTTTAGTTGGGATTCGGAATTTGAATCCATAATTTAACGGTTAAGTACGCTTAAGGATAAGACCTGCCATTAGGAGGTTATTTTATGCAAATTGTTCGTTCCCTCGGGTGTGCTTATCTCTTAAGAAGATTATATATGTCCTTTTAACAGCATAGTATTTTAAATGTTGCGAATTCAGTGTGATATTTTAATTAACACAGGTCTGTGGTTTACGATAGAACATGTAATTATGAGGATTAAGTCATCTTCATTTAGTTTTATAATGTATAATTTTTCTGTACATTATTTGAAGCTGTCTTTTCAGATTGAAGTAAATTATAACATTTTTATTTAACTAGTGGGCTATAATATGTAGACTATGAAATGATGACTAGAAATATGTAGACTGTAATAATTCTGAGAATGTGTGGTAAAGCTGTTTGTAGTTGGCTTTTGGTCTGATAACGTTGTAGAAGCACAATGTAAGTCGGAAGAATGTGCTTGAAAAACTATAATTATGTATAAAAAATCATGAATTATATATTTACTTGCTGCTACAACTGTTATAGCTCCCGCCGGCACACCTAATCCTAGCGCTGGTTTTTGTTTTTCTTCCAACCATCCAACCGCGCCAACCACCAGACCACCGATGCCACAGACAATCTAGAAAATAATAGAGTTTAAAATATTTATGTTTGATCAGTCAATACGCTGGAAAAAAACTAGACAACAAACGTCCCATGTTAGAAGTAGGCATCAAAAGCCACCCAGTCATAAAATACCATACAAAAATCGCTCATTTTTGATTTATCATCAACTTGCCCTTGTCCCTATGGAGGGTCAACTCAGTATGTACTTGTATACATCTCTATCAGCCGTCATATATTAATTTACTCCTTTAAGCATATCCACTTTCGCACTATGCATCCAAAATTTTGTTGCTCAGGTCGAGTCAAAGCAATAAAATGTGCTAATTCCATGTCATTCCGCATTACGGATAATTTACTTTTTCACTGTAGACGCTTTATAAATAACGTGGAAAATATTACAATGGGAATTAATTTAATCAGACAAATTTCTTGGTTCGCCGGTTAAAAATAAAATAACTGTAAATTGAAAGAATACAATTCCAAGCTGTTGTATGGTGAAACGATTTCGGAAATGAGAACGTAAAACATTTAAATGTTTATAGAAAATTCGAAATCTGCGCACTGTCCGTCATCGGATCTTTAGTCATAAAATTTCGATCTTGAACTTCGGTTTTTATTATTTTATTTCCATCTCTATCTATATAATTTGCATGATCGCAGTTGCTATTTATAGCCAATGTTTACGCGTTATTTCGAACAGTCGTAACCATGTCAGGTAAATTTACGATTCTTTTTAATTGTTCCTTTATAAACTTTCTGACATTTGAACTTCGTAAATTAGCGTTAATCGTTTCTTTGTTTTCATCATCCGAACGTTTTGATGTTCTCTCGATAGCTGTAAAAAGTTCGTGTCCCGTTTCACCTTGCACTTGTAGCTTTGAGTAACATTGTATGGAAGCCACGTAAAGTGCATTGCCCGTGAAGTTTACATTCGCGTTTGTTTAAATTTGTACTGACTTTGGAAATTATCTTGCGTGGATATGATAAACTTAACTTTTTTTACCGTAACAAAACAAATTTTGTACTCGTAAATGAAACATGGAGAATTCAAGTATGCATAGAGACAAGAATGCATACTATAAGAATATTTTATTCTTAATTGGGTGCGAGATATATTACCTGTAATACTCTAACTCTTAAAGCAACAGCGAATGGGTAGACTTTGATCCCTGATGCCAAAGGCTCGTCGCCTTTGGAGACTCCACTTAAAGCGCTGCAGACAGACTGCTTGCGGGACCACATCGCCGCTTTGTTATGAAACACTGCAACAATACATTCAGTCCATTGATTAAATATAAATCTTCAAAAACGAATCAGTCAATATACCTAGGTATATGAATCCATGAATATAAAAAAAATGCCTGTGATTTCGTCCGCGCCTTCGATTTTGTGTTACTGTAATCAATAGAACCTTCTAGCTTTTGCCCGTAACTCCGTCCGCGTGTAACAAAAAAATGGAATTACTATTATGAGTTCTTCCAGATTCATCATCATCAACTTTCCCTTATCCCTTAAGGAGGGTCGGCACAGTATGTGCTCTTCCGTACATCTCTATCAGCCGTCATATCTGAATCTACTCCTTTCTTAAGCATATCCTCTTCCACACAATCCATCCATACTTTCTTCGGTCTTCCTCTTCCTTTGTAGCTATCCACATTCATTCTTAACACTTTCTGATTTATGTCATTGTCGTCTCGATTATCTTTCAGATAATGTACTTATTTATTTATTTATTATATTTCTTCCAGATTGTCCTCTACATCTATGTCAAATTTCATCGAGATTTTAGTATAACATTTTCAGCAATATGTTTTTCATTATGAATACTTTTGCTTTTACATGAATATTTCTCGATAACGTGGTTAGCAATTATCTTATCAGCATTTGATGAAAAAAGCTGACAGACTTGTATCAGCACTTAAAAAATCTTTAATAATATGAGAATTCATATCGCAAAAGTTATCAATAATGTGCAAAATATTCAATTTAGTGATGCAAGTAAGGTTATTTGATATTTCGATATTAATTGACAGTTAATAAACTGTCAATTAATTTGACAAAATGACATTATTAGCTGGAGTTTAACTAATTTTAGTACCAAAATGATTTGATAATTTGGATTAAAATCATCTCATTCTGTCTATATTAAAAGAAACTTCAGATAGGTTCAAATTCTTCAAACAATTACATCTGCTGCAGAAGGTCGAAAATTCAATAAACCCGTACATTAATCGTCTCTAGACTACAATCGTCTGAAGTATTCTTGTCTCAATGATAAATGAAGCCTGTTTGCGTAGCAATCAATTGTATTGTTGTGTAGTTTAATTTACTAACTAACGAGAATTCTTTATTTTTAAATTGAATGGTTGTTCTCAGAATTTCTATTTAAAAATCTTGCGTAGTCTTTATTTCTATCTTTAGTATTAAATATATATTAAATGTTTTACATGAGAAAAAAAGTCAAACAACCGAATACGTTAGTTCTTAACAATGTTTTTCTTCATACTGTCCCTTGTGTGTCCTAAACCTTGAAATAAATCCGTGCTCGTTTAGATAAATTGACGTGACGAGAACGGACAGCTTTTTAGTGTAAGTCCGTTATGGATGTAACCAACATATCTACATATGGCTTATATAGATAGCGCGTTAGCATCGCTCATACTTTCATCCTCTAAAACGATTTTTCATTTGTAATATTGGTTGTTACTATCTTCTTAAATATTGATTAAGCAATCTATCTATCTATCTCTACATTTATAGTTTATAACACGGCTAAAACTCACGTGGGACTGGTGTAGGGACCGACCAGTTTCAAACCCGTAGGAGGTCCTTCAGGCTTAGTGGTTGCCGGCTTTATTCGCTAACGCGTTGCGACCATCACTGAGTTTTAGTCGTGTTATAAATCATGTAGTATAATATCTCACGAAACTTTTAATAAGTTAACTATCCACATTTGTTAATTTTAAAAGTTTTCTCTGCTCATATCATGCTATTCTCAGAGTTCGTACTAAGTCTGTTGAATAACGTCACTACCAATATCAATTACAATTTACGCCGCAACGTTTAGAGGGTCCAATCTAAATCAGGCGCGTTATCTACACTAAGCACTCTGTCTTAGAGCCCTCTGATCGACGTTGAATTAGATCTTACTAAGCTTCTTTCATGAGTCTTAGTTTGAAGGGATTTCTACAAAGCTCTTGCTTAACATTACCTTTGAATTGAGTTTCAACAACTGAAATAGATTTCCTTAAGACATTTGAGTCCTAATTGATCTATGGAATAAAACAAAAGCATTTTAAACTGAATTGTGTACTGGATCTTTAGTTACCATTGAAAATGTTATTAATGAATAGTGTAAAAGAAATCATTTAATTGTTACTACAGAAGTAACAAGAATGTTAATTTATATTTCCAAAGCCCTACGATTTTACACTTCAGCATTTGCGAAATGTAGGTTAAGCCCTACCTACCTATCGCTACATGACAAATCACTTAATAAATTTACAAAATTACAAATGCTATGAAGTTTCAAAGAGAATAATCATACTAATATTATAAATGCGAAAGTTTAGATGGATGTTTGTTAGAGTTTGTAGCTTAAACGGCTGAACGCATTTTAATGAAATTTGGCATAGACGTAGAGGATAGTTTGGAAGAACACATAGGCTACTTGCTTTTGTTTTTTATAATTCTACGCGGACGGAGACGTGGGCGAAAGCTTAAATATAATTTGAAACATTTCATTACAATGTTATTTATATTTGTATATAATAGACTGAATTTCGAGAAAAGAAGTGCTCAAATAATCGTCTACAATGCGTGCAAAAATATTTTCTTTGTACAATAAACATCTAAAAACAAATGCGTACACAGAAGACAAATATAGGTGCGGCTTGAATCCGTACGTGACCTTTTTTATTTGCCGTCGCAAATGTAAATCACTAGAATTCCCTTTACTCCATTTTCGTGGTCGTGTGACGAAGGGAATATGTTATATGTAGAAATAGCATTTATTTACAAACGTACAAACGTTGCCCGAGTAATTATGAGCATAAAAGGTTGTTTTAAATTCAGCTTCGGATGCAATCTTACTAGTCTCATTATGTTACTATTTTTTCTAATATTATAAATGTGAAAGTTTAGATGAATGGATGGATGTTTGTTAGAGTTTGTAGCCTAGACGGTTTAACGGATCTCGATGAAATTTGGCAAAGACGTAGAGGACAGTCTGGAAGAACACATAGGCTACTCAGTTTTGTTTTTTTTTTCCACACGAACGGAGTCGTGGGCGAAAGCTAGTAATTTTATTCTATATTTCTTGAAATGTTTTAATCCACTCAAAAACGTTTTAATTCAAGTTCTGTTAATGTAAATGTAAAAACAAAGATAATCAAAACTGTGATAGAATTTTGAGATCAGTGTTGAGCCTAAAATGTTGTCTTGGGTGTCATTTATGACATCGCATTGTTAGGTAGGACAATTTCCTTATGTTATTAATGTGCGTACTTAGTACGTAGTCACCGAGTTATTACTTAAACCTATTAGTATAGATTTCTGATAATTAATCTATACAATTTAATGCTAGTTACCTTTAATTGTTTGATAATAATCTTTTGTCAACATTTTTTAAAATATTTTGTATCTTGTCTATATAGTCCTTTCGATTTGAAATTATTTTATTTAATTCCCATGGGGAAATGGGCAATAAATGAGACATTACGATCCCCCAGCGACCAACAGTAATTGATATTTGAATATTATTACCTACTTTGCTCTTCATGATCAATATTTATGCCCTTTTTTGTTACATGACAATTTTTTTTAAATACTTTGTGTAACGAGTATTTTTAATCAACAACATAAATTATTATATATATACTGTTTTATATTATTAAAATTTATCTGTCACATGATTTTTGAGTTGATACACGAAATGCCTTTCGTGTAAAAATTAATAAATAAAGTTGTAAATGGAACATGAGAAGTACCACATTTATGTGTTTAAAATAATTGCTGATGTATTAAATTATTCAAAATCTTAATTTATATGGTAAGGTAAACGCGTGATATCTTAATTAAAATAAAAAATCAATATCTTACCAGGCATATGAAATAATTATGTCCATCCACACATCACAAAGTAGTTATTCGTATTTGTTAGTACGTAACATTTTATGCGAGAAGTTAACACCCAAGTTGGAGACGTCCGTCGCCTCTCAGACATGAACGTCGACTGAAAACTGAAAGCGGTTGAAAGCCGAATAAAGTCAACGTAGATCGTGATCACATACTTATTAAATATGGACATGCTGAAATTTATTGCAATAAACTATGAATCCCGTTATAATTAGGTTGCTTTTAAAACTCTGGTAAAATGTATCTCTGATGCTGGGTTGCTGTTTCCATTTATTTTGTCAATATCTATTGATTCATTAGTGTTAGATTAATTAAAGTTACGTAGTTCGGAAACGCATTTCAAGAAATTATTGAACGAAAAACTAACGAATGGTTAAACTGGCCTTGAATGGATTAGTGCTATAATCATTCCAATATTATATATTGCAAAGTTTAGATGGATGGATGTTTGTTAGAGTTTGTAGCCTAAACGGCTGAACAGATTTCGATGAAATTTGGTATAGATGTAGAGGATAATATGGAAGAACACATAGACTGCTCAGTTTTGTGTTTTTTTCTTCCACGGGGACGGAGTCGCGGGCGAAAGCTTGCTGCTTATAATTAGAACTAAATAAATAGATGGGAAATTAATTTAAAATATACTAATATGAAGTTACAATCCTTTTGAATAGTAAATCATAACTATTTCTTTCTGATATTTTGAATATACAACCGAAACATATAACGTTTTACTTGTAAGATTTCCATGTAACAGTAAGCACATTTGCTGCCAGTATTATTGGATTTCTCTCGCCTGAAGCTCCTCATTGAATGTACCGAAAGCCACTCGACTCAGCATCAAATATATGATATTATTACACTGTTATTTTCCACTTGGGATGAATCTTTGAGTACACAATCTTGAACTATTATATTCTTGATATGATTACTTCTCTATTATATCTAAGTGTCGACGTGAAAGATCTCGTAGACTAGACTTGTCTTGATACTTTATTGTATAATTCTAACTTCAGTTATACGCCCACGCCTTTGACTAAATTCTCGCACAACTGTTTCGTCGTATTTTAGTTCCTATAAGCATAACAGTTGACTTATAGAAACAATCGACAATCGCACACCAGTTGTACTGTCCTTTGTTACCATGTTTAAATTCATTTGAGTTAGATCGCATGCAAAAAAGATAAATACCGAATCCTATAAATAAATTTCACAGCGACTGTCTACCAAATGCTTACAGACTTTGATAAGTTCTATCTGCAAGCCTCAAGGGACAGCGAACCCTGAATAACACCCGCAATCTTAGTCATTTCGTGACACCGGACCCGACGGTTTCCATGTCACTTATACCGTGTGTTTCCATTGCTAATATACTTGTATCAAAACATATTCCTATCCCTCTTATTAACGCTGTTAAGACAGAGATAGAATGTGTTGCACTATAGGTTTTTCGATATAGGAATCGAAATGTTTTGTTCTTTTATTACAATCCCTATTCCCTTGAATATCTCTTGATTTCTCTCCTGTTACATAGAAATTTCTTTTTGTACCCTGTATTGTGATTGTTCTACAAAGGATAAGACATACTGTTTCTTTTATTACTCTAGATTATGTATGTTTGTCGGATATCGTATGAATACTTCTATACTTAGGGTGAGTTGCATCAAATCGCCGGTTATCGTAAAAGTTATAGTTATAGTTAATAGGGTTACAAGTGCAAAAACATATTCTCAC